TTTATTTATTTGAGAGAGAGAATGAGATAGAGAGAGAGAGAGCATGAGAGGGGTGAGGGTCAGAGGGAGAAGCAGACTCCCCGCCGAGCAGGGAGCCTGATGTGGGACTCGATCCCGGGACTCCAGGATCATGACCTGAGCCGAAGGCAGTCGCTCAGCCAACTGAGCCACCCAGGCGCCCTAACGGGTTTTATTTAAGTGTCTCACTCCCTTTCTAGATCTGTTTGCTAAAGATCAGTACTTTCCACTATTATACTGTCAGTAACAGGCCTATGCAGGGCCCCTGAGCACATTTTAGTAATGTATCAATCCAGTCACTTTTGCGTCCAAACCTTAAGGATGTCAAGTACCAGATTCACAAGCTGTTCCTGAAAAGGAAAGATCGAGGACTTAATTTCTAAGTGCAGGTTCCAAAGTACGGTCAATCCTCATTAACAGTGGTTTCCATATTTGCATATCCACCTACTTGCCACAATTTACTTGTGACCCCCAAATCGGTACTTGAGACCCTTCTGCGGTCCTTCACAGACATGTGCAGATCAGCAAAGAATTTGAGCCACCCAAGGTACACGTTCCCAGCTGAGATCGAACAAGGTGATGCTCTGGCTTCTCACATTAGCTCTCACACTGTAAACAAGTGTCCTTTTCGTGGCCTATTTAGAGCCACATTTTTCACATTTTTGTGCTTTGTTGGTGTTTTCACTGTTTAAAATGGGCCCTAAGCCTAGTGCTGAAGTCCTACCTAGGGCTCCTAAGCACATAGAGGTTGTGATGTGCCTTATAGAAAAAATACAGTGTTAGGTAAGCTTCATTCAGGTGTAAGTCATATATAGTGCTGTGGGCAGTGAGTTCAATGTCAGAGTCAATAATTATATATTAGTAATATATTAAATTGTGTATATTATCTATTAAATATTATTATATCCACATGCTATTAAGTATTATATAATTAATTATATAATATATTCAATAAGGTGTCCTTAAGCAGAAGCCCATGTAAAATAAGGTTATGTATTGCTCTGTTGATGGAAACGTCGTGACCAGAAGCTCGTAGGAACCTAGCCCTCTATTTCCCCTAGGAGTGATGCTTCAGCATTTCCAAATTCAGGGCTCACAGCAACCTCACAGAGCGTAACTTCCACGAACAATGAGAAGCAGCTACAGGTTGTTTCCTTGCAAGAGAATCCTGTTAGAAGGTTTTACTGTCCGGAGTGGTTAAAACCACTTCTTCTACTGAAACAAATGTTCATCTGTTCATCTGAAGGAGACGATCCAACCCTCCAGCGCCTTACGTCAGTGCCGTGCTTCCGCGTTGCCTGGGAGGCCAGCGACTTGATCCTCTCCCGATAGAGCTGAGCAGCGCGGCTGTTGTACTTGGCCTTGGTGTCGCTGGTGGCACAGCCGTGTTGATGGAAAAAGGAAGACTACAGAGGAAAACACACGAATTAGAGTAATACTGCATTAAATCTAACGCAACCGAAAACATTGCTTCATGTTGTGAAGGAAAATACTATTATATCAATATGCTAGAAATACACTAGAAAATACTAGTGAAAACAAAATTAAACCACATATTTTACAAAAATAATTTAAACCACACAATTTAGGGGCGCCTGGTGGCTCAGTCATTAAGCGTCTGCCTTCAGCTCAGGTCATGATCCCAGG